TTTCTTCTTAGGCTAAATAAAGGTGTTTTTATAGCAAGAATTTAAGCTTCTTTAGGCTTCATTTTGGATGCCATTTTTTTCTAGAGGCACTTTTAGTCATAACCTTTCCATCAATACTTTTAGCACTTTAGTATCGATCTAAGTTGACAACATGGTAGTGGTTTTTCACAATATTGATATTCTAGATTTACCTTTCTTGGATCTTATGGGATATTAAGACATTGTAATTTCCTAAATTTAGACTTTCCAAGAGGATAACCAGCCCAATACTACTTAAATCCAAAGACATTTAACTCCAAGACCCTTAACTTATTGAAAAATGGAGTTCATTTTTATTTATATGCCTTTTTTCCTCTATATTTGAATTTTTATGAATTGTTTCCCAAGTCATTCTCTTTGGTTGCTTACAGGTATTTTCATCACGAATTCTTGAAATAGGGTTGTAGATTGGGTTGAGCTCTTTTCAACAAGCCTATTTAAAGATAGAATAGTCGTTAAAGGTTATTTAAGATTATACAATTTAGTGTTTGCTTCCAAAGCCCCTATAAAAAGTTGAATATGTCTAGAATTAAGATTAGGATATTTATTTCCTTTTTTAAATTAAACCTTGTTAAAGGTTTTTTGGAAAAGAAGCAATCTTTTTAGTAGACGTGTTTAAGAGTGGGTTTTAAGATGTTGAGGGAGCTACCCTAGAGCAAATTTACCAACAAAACTATATTTCTTTCATTTTCAAGCTTGTTTTCTTTGTCACATGATTTTGGTATTTTGAGTATTTGATACCGGTATTGAAGGTGTAGTGCATCTGATTATGGGATGAAATTTAAATATATTATAACCATAAATCCTTGAAATCTTAGGGATAGAAACATTATTCTTCTTTCCCCAAATCTTTGTCAGAATTTGAGTTTTCTTCTTCAGTGGGATTTGGCTGGAATAAAAAAAAAAAAGCCACTAAAAATGCTCTTTTATTAAATAATTGATCTTTTTCCAATTGGTTTAAGAGGAAAGAAGTAAGATGCATTACATGTGGTATAAGAGTAAATGACACTAGGTCAATTCCCATTGATTAATGGCTATTTAAAATATAATATATCCTTAAAATGGAAATTGTACATACTTTCCTTCATCTTATAAAGCATTTATAGACAAAGGTATCCACCGTTGGACTATAGTATCTCTAAAGAGGAGGTAAGTGTCTTTCATCTTATAAGGCATTTATAGACAAAAATATCCATCATGGGACTACAATATTTCTAAAGAAAAGGTTAGTGTAACACATGTGATTATAGGATAAGATTTGGATTTAGAGAAAGATACGATACACTACATTATGCATGTGGTAAATTAACACCCTTTTCTCATAACTCAAAACTTATAAAATCCAAAAGCAACTTAGGTATGACATAGCACCTTCAAAAGCCAAATCTTCTTTATCATTGATAAGTTCCAATGACTTAGATTTGTGAGTTATGGTGCAGCCACCTTTAACTTGAGCTTAGCTCCACATTTTACAAAAGAAGAGTGATCTGCCAACTTTTTCAAATGTTGGAGTAATCTCTCTAATGTTTCATATCAACCTCTTTGACTACTATTACACCACAAACACAATCATCAATGATGATTATATATGTTGTGACTTTTTGCAATCTCTTAAAAGCAAAGCGACAACTTAGGTGGAGTCTCTTCTCCCAATGGATAGGATGGACTTCCAGATGCTACTTGCTTCCTTTAAGTAGCATTTCATCAAAGAAAAACCCACAAATCAGCTATTTATTGATTTCTTTTTGTTCTAGCAAGGACTCACGAGTCTATCCTTGATTATATCACCAAGCTTAGAGCTTGCTAGCTATTTATGACCATCTAGTCCACATATGCATGGATTAAGTTAGGGACCTTAACCTACCCTAAAGGCTTATAGTAGTAATGAAGGTATAATGGATCTTTTGAAGTAGTTTAGGGGTGAGGAACTTTAAGAAGTATAGTTATACTTCTTTATTTTTGTTGTTTAGTGTCAAGTCATAGCAAATGTAGCTTAAGTTTATCACTTAGTTTCATACAAGAAGGCATAGAAAATTCCTTTCATACTCTACAATGATGATAAGTTTTTAAAAAAGAGGCATTCTTTCTATATTAGCAATAGTGGGCTGATTTATATTTATTTATGCATGTAATATTTTAGTGTGTACTAATCCCAACTAAGCAACTATGGTTGTTGATTGTATGTAAACATATCCTCCTCTAAGAGCAAAACACATAAAAAGGGTGGTAGGAATAGGAATTAACCATAAATATAAAGAAAAGCTAGAATAAATAAAAAATAATAACACTAAAATACAAGTAAAGACACTACTAAACATCTCCACCAATGTCACATTTTTGCTTGTATAATAATGGATGGACTAAATCAAGCTCTATATATAAATTATCTATTTATTTGTAAATTGCTATGTTAAGAATAGATAGTATCTCATACACAGCATGAACTGTTTGATTTGATTGAATAATCCATATCTAAGGGTCTACTTCTAATTAGGATATTTCATATAACAATTATTAATCATTCTCATAAATGAAATATAAAATTTTTATTTTAATTAATTTTTCATATCTTTCTATTTATTATTCTCAAAAAAGATTTCATTATGAGGATTATGGAGATAATGGAATAATTCCAGAGCAAATAAACATGAATGATTTAGCATCAATGTTTATTATTTTTCTAAGACACTCATTGCCTTCTGGTAGAAATACACAAGTGGGTTCCACATTTTATACATCTTACATAAGTTCAGAGATACATATTAATATGTTATTTGTTATACTATCTGCAAGCATAAATTGTCCAATAAGCAATGGTATACATGAAATTAATAATGATGCTACTAGGCTTTTATTATCAAGAGTTGGTAGAGAAGTTTATTTATCTTTTCGAAATGCTAGAGCATCACATTTTATAAGTATTATTATTCAGTATGATATTGGTATTTTTGTAGTTTTATATCAAATACATGGCTATATTTCTAGAATAACACCTTTTTATAATATTCACATACATTCACTTCCATATAAATTTTGTAACTTTTTTAAAAATAGATTATTTAGTGGATATAAAGGTTTATATATAGCTACACTTAATCCTGGTGAATTTTTAACACATTTTTATAAAGCATATATATTTTTAGTACAACATGATTGTAATACTGTTTTTTATTATCAAAATATAGTTTTATGGGATACTAAAACTTATGGAGCTAGTTTTGATTGTAAATTAAGATTACAAGAAGATGGAAATCTTGTACTTTATTCAACATTTGATTTACAATCATTATATGCAACTGGAACTTATTGTAAAAAATCTAATTGTGTGAAACCATCAATGCTTATTCTACAATTAAATTGTGATTTAGTTTTATATCAAGATGGAAATCCTTCTATACAAATGTGGTCAACTGAAACAATATGTTATAATTAATAAATTCAAATGTAATTAGAATTTTATATTTTACTTTAAAACTTGAAATTTTTCAAACTTATTCCCAAATATAGCTAAAATTCAAATTTACCTAAACTAGAACAAAATTTATTTAATAGTTGTATGCCTAGATAATTTATTCTCAGTTCTAATAAATTTATAATACTATATTACTTTCATTAAATCAAATATTAATTTTGTGAAGAAATGCTAAATTTATGCAATAAATATATTTAACGTAATTGTACTAAATACTAAAATACAGTTTAAAAGGATCCCATTGTAAGGAATGAGGGTTTTACCATAGAACTTCCGACCTGGAGATTTGGTAATAACACTTGAGTAGCCCCTTGTCACTTTTACTCTCTTGCTCGGCTCCTAAAAACTCTGCAGCAGACGTTTGCGAGTCCTGGGTATGGTGACGAGCAGGATTGGGATGCTCCATGACTTGTTGCGCAGCTGTTAGACCCAGGAGCTTTTCACTCTGAGTTCCACAAGCAAATAGAAGATCAACCATGCAAGCGTAATGCTCTGGTGACATCAGTTTGTTCGGCCGGTCGTCCGCTTGCATTGACTCGATACACTCGTAACCTTCGGCCCTCCAGCACAGATAACATGCTCAACACAGTGATCTCACTGCTGGAACAACTTATACAACTCTGAAAGAAGATGCACAGAAGCAAAACGATGGACAAGGATGACTCCCACTCTGATATATCATCACTGTGTATATACATATACACATGATCAACAGTTGTGACTATCCTACACCTGGATCAGTGATGTGGCAACTCCAACAAACTCGACTGCAAATTCTTGCAAGACATTATGGTGTGGTACGCTACGTGTTTCTTTGTCTTGGCCACGGACGCAGTTCACCCTTTCGTTGTTCTGCTTTGCAGAAGCTGGTCTTTCTTCACACCATGACATGGGGAAACCATTTTAAGGTTTTTATGAATGCTGGACTCGCCGTTAGAACTTATCGTTACTACGACAACAAAACCCGCGGCCTTGACTATGATGAGTGATGCTTCTCTGGATTGTTTGTATGAAACGGCATTGTTGGCTTCTCAGGTATGCTCGAAGATATTGGTGCCGCGCCAAGCGGCTCATCTGTGCTCATAATCCCACCACACCACAGAAGTGGGAAGGAATCCGGCAGGCAATCCGGAATAGAGGACATTTACTATTTTATGACAGTGCTTATCATATAGCTGAAAATACGTACAGATAGAACCGTCTCGTTCATTCAGGGGTTTGCAAGTGGTAGTTTGGACAAGGACGCGCTTGCGGTTCGAACCTTCGTAGCTGATGGCGGAGAGCACTTCATTGCTCAAAGCTTTGCTAAAAACATGGGACTTTATGGTGAGCGCGTTAGAGCTTTCAAAGTTTCGACTCTCGTTGCAACTCCACTAAATTTCGTGACCTGAAAAGAAACTTGATATCTGTGTGAGGGGGCCTCTTTGGCGAAGTGCCGATACGAAGCATGCGAGCATTCTTGTTCTATCTTTCGAAACAGCTTCCATAATCAAACCACGGTGGCCGCTCTACACATGTTAGAGAGCATTACATATGGTGAACCGACACCAGGCTCTGCTTGCATGGCAGCCTGGGACGCGACGGCAAGGCCATCCTTGCTGCTGTAATGGCCGCCCCGACACGCCGCTGCGAAGCATCTCCAGTCCAAGGCACTCGGAGCGAATGGCATGGCGGCCATCAAGGCTTGGGCGTCGGTCAAGTGTCCCGCACTGCACAAGAGGCTCAGCATGCAGCTGTAGTGCTGCCCGCTCGCTACAAGCCCAAAGTCGCAAGTCATGGACGTGAAGCAGTGGCAGCCGCCTCTCACAGCTCCTCTATGGCTCCACGCCCCGAGAACGCTCGCGAAACAGATGCCATCCGGGTGCCCCACCAGGTTCATTTCGTTGAAGAGCTGCAGTGCCATCTGCGGCTGGCCCGCTTGAGCGTAGGCGCTGATGACTGCCGTCCACGACACCACGTCCCGCTCGGGCATGCATCCAAACAAATTGCCACACTTGGACATTTGCCCGCACTGGGCATAGGCTGCAAGCAAAGCAGGGCGTTCCACGATATAACATCTCTCTCTCGCATGGCGATAAATTCCTTTATGCTTCCGCCGAAACACCGAAAGCATTGCGTTGCAGCACGGGAGGTTCTACTAATTGAGTTATCTCATTATTTCAAACATAAAACCAAAAACAGAGCAACTTGTACCTCTTGCGCGCGCTCCGCCAGCTCCTCCGCCAGCAGCCCGCCAGCGCCGCCGCCGCCTCAGCTGCCCCGAGCACGCAGCGTGAGCGTCAGCCGTATACAGATGAGCGCCACCAGGCGGAGGATGGTGCACGGGCAGCCCGCAAGTTGGTTGTCGGGGCCGAAACACTCGGGGGTGGAAGCGATAAGATGAGATGGTGGTCGACTTTTCAGGGTGGGGGTGGTGGGGGACGTCGCCGCCGCCGCCGCCACAAACGAGAGCGCGGCACTGGATCTAGGAGCACAAGAGGAGCCGCCGGGGAGGAGCGAAGAGGCGGCGGCGATTGAGTCGGCGGAATCGGAGATTGATCGTCGGGAGGCGATCGCAGCTCCGTCGCTCAAGGCGCCTCCTCCATCGCCGGAAGTGGACGCGGCCATGGCGGCTGGGGACGCCGAGAGGCAACCAAAGCAGCAACAGGGCCATCACCACCACCACCGGATCCGCCAAGAACATGGCCCGTCACTCGGTGCTGGAGCGGTCGCTCTGCGCCGCCGGATCCAAAGGGGCGTAGCGGTGGAGGAGCCCGAGGAGGAGGAGGAGGCGGAGGGGCGGAGGGGCAAGTGCTCGACGTGAAAGCGCCACCAGGTGGAGGTTGGTGCACGGGCAGCAGCACAGCGCCGCGCAGTCGCCCGGCCCCGACAACGAACTTGCCCGAGCTCGCTTCGAGCCCGTGACCATCTTTCTCCGAGCGTACAAGCGTTTCGAGCTCCCGACCTCCATCTCTGTCTCTCTCACTGTCGGAGCAAGAACAGACGCGTCTCTCTCTGTGGCATCACACGAGAAAGCCAGAGGTTTGGCATTTTACTTCGTGTTTGGTCACGGATCTGACGATTCCATATTACACGGCAGCCTGTGCTTCAGTTTTGAGCAACTCAAGTGTGTTCCACCGCTTCTTCCGGAGAACGAGAAAACGTTTTTTTCTTCGTTAGGTTGAGGGTTTAAGAATTATAAATACTAGTTGTTTTAATATATATTTGAACAAATCTACAAACTTTCCTAACTCGTATTGTGTAGTGGATATTCTCAAAATATATTGACATATTCTAAATGTGTAATCAAGAACTGTAAGTAACCAAAACTTGTAACATAAACGACAAGAGAAGAAAGCTCACAGCATTCTTTGCTAGCTAAGTTGGTTTTCTAGTGTGGCTGTCGATTCCTGGAGGAGTAATCTTGCCTCGTTCCTTCTCCTGACAAAATCACAGAGAAAAACTATGATAAAAACGAATCCAGTGCTTACTTGCGAACTTCTTCCACGGCTTGCTTTCGTCTTTGCACTTGTGTCTCCAGAATGCGAATAAGTGTCGCTCTGGCCTGGAGAACAGTGTTTTCCATGAGCGAAAGAACGAAAAACTTGAGAAAAAGAGAGATTTTTTTTTTTCCAAACCTGGTGTGGCCTGAGTGAATTCAGCAAGTGATGCATGTTTCTGAGAATGAGCCCCATGTCTTCCACTCTCCGAGCATACTGCGAAGGCCTCTCCACCAAAACATCGGCGAGCTCCATCATCTGGAGCACAAGCTCCCGGTTCAAAGCCTTGAGCTCCTTCTTGTAGTCTAAACTCCCAAAGTTTGAGGCAATCCACTCGTAGAAAAAAAGAGAAAAATCTTGGTCGAGTCTCGACTAACCAATGTTGGGTCCTTTGGGGTACAGTTGCCGAAGCCCCACTTCCTCCAAGCTGGGTAGCGCATCGTCAGTCTGGAAGCTCAAGCTTGTAAGAGAAGGAAAAGAAAAGAGGAGAAAGAGGGTCTCTTAACTGTGTAGGTGTTGCCAAAGACGCTGTAGGTCCCCTGGAGCGGCGAAGGCGGCGATGGCGCGGAGGTTTGATCCTTGTAGAGCTTGTAATAGGGAGGCGGGGGCGGATATGCAGCAGACGTTGTGGCAGCCATAGCTAGGGCTACTTATTCCCGAATGTTCTTTTTCATTTAAAATTTTTACCAGCTGCGCTCGTAACCCGGTCCTGCTGATCATCGATGTACAACCCTGGGAGCTCGCAATCAACACTCCATCGAAAGCGTCAAGGAGGACGCCACGCATGAACACGTATTCTTACCAATCGTAAGCACCTATGATGAATGAAGCCTTTTGAAACTTCATTGAAGGTCGTGCTTTACTTTGTGTTTTGAGCATTTGTTACGAAATGTGGAAGGATGTTTATCAACACTTCCTACCAAGGTCAGAATTGACAGAAAATAAATAGAGAAGTTTTTTACTGATCAGCTTACTTAAACCAATGCTTCAATCAATTGCCACAAACAACTAAGGTTTTTATGTGAAGACATAAAGAATCCCATGATTCAGTGGTCTTCATCCACATATACTGTTTACATGGGCTCATGGCAGTCCCCAAGCGGTTATGTTCTTAACCTGCCAAATGAGAGTGGGCTTTAGTGGTGAGTAAAGAAACAACATCCAGTAAAAGTGATACAACATGTTCTCATCACAGAACTCTTGAAATAATGTTTGGCCAAAGTTGGATCACATTGAGCCAGTGTTACACATTGTTGCCTAATTGATAACATGTCCAAAAGGATACTGTGTCTGAATATAATCAGATGTTTGTAATCTCTATTGTAAAACTTAAATTTACTTTTTGCTCCTATGATTTATGTAAAATATAAATTATAATTTTAAAATAAACTAAAAATTACTAATAATATAATAAAACTTATTAAACACTTTTCATCATAGTAAATTAAAATTTAATCAATTAATGCATTAATAATTCTGACTTGAACCGCTGATGTGCCTCATATAAGCATGAACAGGTAATATATGATAAAATATTTCTAATGTAAAACTATTATGAGATTCCCAAGTTTTATTATGAGTTTATGACATAATTTCAATAAATGTTTTTCAAGAAATAAGATCATATATGCATTTAGAAAAGTTTTTTACCTATAAAAACTGTGTAAGTATTAATTTAAATTGACTTGTATTATTTCAATGTTTAAAAACTTAAAATACACTATAAATTGCAAATATTAAAATTTCAGTTTATATCTTTTTACTTATCTTCTTTATGAAAGAAAAATATAATATGAACAAAAATATATGGCTATAAGGTTCAAGTGTATGGCTACAATGCCATATACTAATATTAATATAATGAATTTTGATAGCTGTTAGATTGGTTTTAATCCGAACCATTTGCTCATATATATAAACTAGGGTTTTTGGGCTAATTGATATGCATATTTCTGTATTTCATTTTCATCTTCCATGCACTCACATTGATGGAGGTGAGGGGCAGTTTTAATTATCTCTAAAAAGTGCTTAAATTTGGGATTTTAGTTTAAATCTAACTTTTGCATCATATAAATCTCTTTTTCCTTATAACTTTTTCAATTTCTTCTTTTATGGTTTTTCCTTTTTGTTCATCTTTATGGCAAAGTAGCAATGTCTTCTTCCTTTGACTCTAGAGTAGCAATTGGTATAGTTGTTTGATGCTATGTAGTTGCAATTGAACAATCAAACTTAATTAATAGTGACATTCATAATATATGGTATAGCTCTTCTTGCTCTTACTACTAATCTTTATGTTTGGCTGAAGTTTTTTTGTGGGAATCTTAAGGATGATATGTACCATTGGTTTGATCACTTTACGATGACTATCACATATTATTCTTGGGATGATATTTATATGAGTTTCCTATGTATCTCCAAGGGATGACACTACAATAGCACAACAACCACTTATGCAAGTTAGAGCATTTTCCAGAATGTCTTCAAATGCACATTTAGACATGCTAATGATTGTGATGATGCCTTTTAATAATTGCATTGTCTTTGTCAAAGGCTATCTGAGTTAGTGATGCAATTTAGTATTTGTTTCTGAAGCATCTTGCTTTGTGCAGAGCCAAATATGTTAAAGTGAATCAGATTGAAATGTTGTGGCCTGCACTTCTTCAAGATTTTGTAAGACTTTTGCATATACTTGCTGTAGCCACCTTTGACAATAATCTTCACTTAGCACAATGTTATGAGACATCACTTTTTCCACTTCTTATTATATACCTTTCAGCTTTACTTTATATAGGAGATGATTTTGTTCCAATGGAGGTTCATACTAATGCTACCCAAATTCAAGGACAAGGGTGAGGACATGGTCATAGTTATGATATCCTGTGTTAGGTGTGTGATGAAGTTGGTCATACTTATTGGCATGGTCGACATTTTTTAAATTGGCGACCTCCATTTCTTAGGTGGAGACTTTGGCGTCAACAATGTTTTGTTGGTGCTGCTAAACTATGACCATGTCTTCGGGGCTTCTTTAGCCTACGACACCTCGGCGAGTTGGTTCCTTACATTCGGAACATCGTGGCCCTACGCGGGCCTCATGGGCACCCAAGTAGTTTACTTGGAGCTACATTGTCCTTCCTCATACAAACTGGTAGTTTATTTAGATAACATATTGTGAGTTTAGTGCTAAAGATTGCAAAGCATTGTCACGGTGGGGCTTGGTAATCCTCCAAGTGTCAATCAAGAACTACTTTATAAATCCATATAAACGAAAATGAGGAAGAAGCAATTGTGTAAAACAATCTCACCTGACTTTCTAGAGTATCTTCAAAGGGTTCATTTGACATTAATTCATCTAATATTTACTTTCCAAGCTCATTTTTATAACAAGAGGTCTTCTATTATTCTCTTTGTGTTGGTTGATACAGACTCAAGTTTATCTTTCATTGCTCAGCTTGTTGCCACATGTTGCCGTCTACATTTGCAATGTGCAGTAGAGTTTGTTTTCATTCTTTATGGCAACGGCCATACACACGCATGTGCACGAGATGAGGCAGATCTAGTTGTGTGTGTGAGTGATCTTAAGCTTGAGTTGTAGTCATTTCAGGTCGTGCCAAGTCAAACTTTAGACCTCATCTACAAATCAGCGGAGGTGAACTACTCCACAACAGAGGAGTGTTTAATAGCAGTTTAGGGTTTCGAGAAACTTCATACATATTTACATAGTTCTCAAACATTACTAAAAGGTGATCATGTTGCAGCTACCATGATTCTCCTATTCTAAGTGGGTATATAAGATATCATCGTGTGACTAAAAAGCTGTGTAAGTCTTTCTATTAGCTAGAAATGTGACGTGATGTCATCCAGTATATGCATAGTTGTGTTTAGTGTCAAACTTATAATGCTCCTCCTTGTATTACAAAAAGACTATTGGAACCAATTGTAATTTCCCATCCATTTGAGTTAGTGGCATTTGATATAATGGTTACAGTGGACACTTGGCAATAAATATATTATTATTACTTTTGACTACTTGATTTATTAGGTGGAAGCTGGTACTCTTGTTAGTGCCTTTACAACTACTATTGGATATTTCCTTCTCAATCAAGTAGTGGTTTAACAATTCTATTTAGAGTGAATTCTTTCAGATAATAACCTCACATTTACAATTGAGGCATTTCATGTTTTAATGTCTAGGTTGGGGATATGTCACATACAAATATTTATTATCCACAATCAGATGGTTTGGTAGAATGGCTTGCTCAGATCTTCAATGGGATAATTTTGAAATACATGAGCTTTAAGCATTTGGATTAAGATGGTTATTTGCTATGTGCTATTCTTTAGTGTAATGTATTCTTAAGTAGTGTAATGTACAAGTCAAGATCTAGAAAATGGCGGCAGGGTTTCCCTTCCAGTTGCAACATTATATTCCCGAGAACTTATAAAACTTTCATGGTGGTTTTTATGTGAGGCCACTCCACCATTGTTCATCATTTTGAGTGCTCCAATGATCTCGGAATCCATCTACAGAGAAGTTTTTTTAGTTGTTCCAGAGTTGGAACTCTTTTCTCCCACGAGAAGTATATTCACATACCTCTTCGATTGCTCCAAGCGGTGGCAAACCAGCTCGAGGTGAGACGAAGTCCAAGCCAAGGATGAAGTCATCCTTTTTTATTGAGCGTTTTCCAGGCCTCGGAGATCACCTGTTGCGTGAAGCGCGAACCTATCAGAGGTAACATGGAGAGAATTTTGTGCTTTTACCTTCTTGGATGCTGTCTTCTTGTCGCTCAGGAAGGCTTTGACACTTTGGCCGTCGAATTTCTTTCGTACGTGAGCCATAGTTCTTTGAAGAGCTCCACATACTCGTTTTGATCGACGAGGGCGTCCTCGTTAACTCCCGATCTCGAGAGAGCAGCGTCCACCACGGGCAAACTCGCCTGGAAGAAAAGAGTTTAAACACTCCGAGGAAGCTCACACAACCCCAAAGAATTCCGCTTGATCACGGAATTCCTCCGCATAGAAGCTACTGACGAACTGGTATCCAACTTTATCATCTCCAGCTATGCAGCGCCTATCGAAGGAGGCCATGTCGTCAATCCGCTTAAGCTTGCTAACCTCGAGGATGTGCCGTAGAGACATTCTGATGCTGTTCATCTCTGCAGAGTCCTCAAAGGTTTTAAGAGCTGCCCTCCACTCGTCATCGTCTTCGAGTAAAGCCACAGCTTCGTCAACCGATGCCTCCATAAACGTCCAGTCCATAGGCAAACAAGATCCCTGGAGCACGTCAGGTTTCGGCACCAGTTTGGTGGAGGCATGGAGCCTGCAGCTTTTGTCGAGCAAATCCAGCGAGAAAGGGTGCATCCCTGCATAGTGCTCCACAAGCTTGGCGCGTTCTGGAAATCTCGAGCACAGCAGCCCAAGCACGGGAAGCTTGCCCATGAAACCTCTTGAGAATTCACACCGCAGTAACTCCATAGACAACGAGCTCAGCAGTGGAGGCAATATAAGCCACCTCCTCACGAAACCTCTTTCGCTTTTCTCTCCAACATTCTCCCTCTCCCACGCTGCTGCTAAAGATATCGAACAATTCCGCCTGATCAATGATGAACAAGAAGCTCTCGCCAGCAGCTCTCCTGACCCATGAACGTCTTTCACAGACGCTAGCGTTGCAATGCGATCCAGCCGCTTGACATCCCTGCAGTAGCAAAACCGCAGCGCGTTCATCACATAGCCCACCAAGCCGTCGTCTCGATAACCCATGAGAGCGCTCTCCACGTCCCAGAAGCAAACAACTAATCATGCAGCAAGCCAGCGCCCTCAACAAGCAGCTCTTGCCAACAACGAGCGCTGGTCGGCGTGGAGTCTCAGCCGCTCGCAGTAGCTCCTGACGGCCTACAAACGCGACCTCGCCGCCGGGTCTAACCGGTGGCTTCCCAACGCCTGGATATGGAGATCCGTGATCGTGCCTGACGTGCATAGCTTCACCTTGTCGATCTTAGCTATCTTGTCGAGTGCCTGCTTCGCATGCTCAAGATCGCAAGCCAAGATATAATTAATTGATTTTAAATAGAACTTTACTGAGAGTTAATCAGAGATGGTATGAAGAGAGCGGTAATATAATTATTATAATCAAATTACTATTGCTTTTCTATAGAAATATTCATAATAAATCATTGATTGACAAAGAACCAGGTTTGGTGTTTGAAAGCATCTAAAAAATTGATTGTCAAGGAGATGAAATTTCTTTCTAATTCTTTTCTAATATAGTAGTGAAAGTTCCTGTTACAACACATCTATACAAAAGAAAAAGCTACCAAATAATAAGCGTCCCACTTCACAAGAACTTCTCCAAGTTCTTGGAAAACTTTAAGGAACTGGACAACTCTTCACGAAGGGCACGATTCCTGGTTGAGTCGGGCACGCTGCCAGTGGACAATTATCAATGGTAGCCCCCCACCAGTTCACAGAATAGTCTCCCATCCTAGTAGCAAAGTAAACCAAGATAGCCATAAACGCAACGCCAGCGTCCAAGGCAGCTGATAGAACATAGTTGTGCCGCTGCCACCACGCCTTCTTATACCGGAAGATGAGATAGTTGAAGACAAAGCCCATGAGAAACCAGCTCCAGTAGTTCACTGCTGTTGCCGGTGGTATGGCTCCGGTGGCTCCCAAAAGAATCGGCATGTTGACGAGCCTCAGCCATCGCTGCTTGGGGAATAGCTTGATGGCGATCCAGACGAACACGGGTGCCACAGCCCCGACCAGGAAGAACCAGTTCATCTGGTTGTACTGGCCGAGAGAGCCCCACATTCTCATGGGGCCGATCAATCCCCAGATAACCGAGGCGTCGAAGAAGACGGTGTCGTTGGGACACGTCCAGGGGCTGTTTCGCGGGAGCTCGCTGGGATGGCAGATGCCTTTGATGGAGCTTAGCAGCCACCAGGCGGTGCTTAAGTTGACGGTGGCTGCGATGACAGTGCCGAGAACCTGTGCAAAGATGAACAAAGAAGTAGAGCCGAGTGAAAACTTGATTCGAGTGACTCTACCTGGACTGTGAACATGGACCTTGGAGGTATTTTCATGTAGTGCCCGAGTTTGAAGTCGGATAGAAAGCTCACGGCCTGAGTCATGCTTATGTAGCCGTAAGTTTTGAAGAGAACGTTGGCAACTGGCCGGTTTGGATAAACATAGCCGATGAGATACTCGGTGATGACGTTTAAACCGGGTACCTGGAAGCGTAGGGAAAGAACTATTTTCTTGTCAAGGAACAGTTTGCAACCAAAGACGGCTTCGTACCTGGTTAGTGGTCGCGGCGATTATGGCGATTGGCATGGTGAAAATAAAGGCGATGCCAAACGCAAATAACAGCCCCCACCATCGCAGCTGAACTGTGGAGTTGAAGTACTCACAAGTAAAAATGGCGAGTGCCATAGAGGCGAACATCATTCCTAGAAACCAAAACTGTGGGACGGTTTTATAGCGCATCATCAGCCTGGTGTGCACGTCAACCTTGCGAGATGTCAAGGCACTCGTTGTCATAGAATAAATCTCCCTGGAATGGTCGAAAGTTATCAGAAAATGCAAGAAAAAAAGCATGCAAAAGCCAAAAGAAAAAGAGAAAACAAGATTGAAAAACTTACTTGCCATGGAAGATGGCTACGTGAGCAAGAGTCGCGGTAAGCGCTGCAAACGAGGCCCCATAAGTAAACACAAAGAAGTTGCTCAGGTGGAGCTTGCTGTACGAGTTGTAAGCATCGTAGTCGAGTTGCAGACTGTGATCCTTGATCACCCTGGTGAAGTTGTATTCCGAGCCATCGTCTGCGTAGAGCCCCGAAGAGAATATAGGAAATCTCTTGGCCCCGTAGAGGTTGCTCCAGTAAGTGAGCGGCGTGACCACGTACATGAAGAGTGAGAATCCCACCATCACGTTGGCAGTAGCAAACCAGGGACTCGCGAGTGGACTGCCGAGGTAAGAAGCTATGGCGGCCCAGTCGAAAGCAATGCTGCCCAGGCCAAGTCCATAAAACCCCGAGCCTATTTGTTGTGCTGTGACCGACTTTGGCCAGGCGTAGCATACCCACGACAAGGAGCTCAAGGAAATAAACCAGTAGTCCGGGAATGTGTAGTAGCAAAAGCTGAAGGTAAGCGCGATGAGAAAAAACTGTAGTCGCGTCAGTCCACCCTTTCGACGGACATCCTTTTCATGCAAAGTCCTGTTTCAATCATAGAACAAAGAGAAACTTTATTCTAGTGTGAAGTTAGCAACAGCGTACCTGAAGATCGAGACTTGCACCAAGTTGGAAGGCCACCACATCTCGGCTGGATCCACCAAATACTTGCGAAAGATCCCAGCCCAACCATAGCCAATGATCTGTATCACAAGAACAAGTTTTCTAGATGAAGTTCAAGAGCATAAAAGACTCTAGTACCTGAGTCGTGATTGTGATGAGCAAGCCCACTCCAAAATCCATTCTTCGCTTGTAGAACGCCTTGACAATCGTGACGATTCCCACGGCATAAGCACTGCCGGCACCGGTGTTTGCGAAGATGGTGATGAGGACATGCTCCTTTTTGTTGAAAGCCCCCGGGTTGAGCGAAAACTCTCGGCCGAAGATCGAAAACTTTCTCGTCGGCAGCGTTGCAGCCATGAGCTTGCCGAGCGGGAGCGTGACAATCTGCGCGGAGATGGCAGTGATGATCAGAGGCTCCGTCCTGTACGCGAAGAACTGGTTGAAAAACGCGAGCAGCACGCACGACACGACTCCCAGCGTCCACATCCGAAAAGTGTAAACCGGGAGGCTGGGATCATCGCTAGTGTCGACTGTGAGAGCAACCTCCTCGATCGGAGACTGTTCTTCTTTCTCTCCAACTTCTTCTTTCTCGGATCCTCCCTGGTCCAAACTTTCATCCTTGAGCTTGGGTTCTTCTCCAACTTGATGATCTTGATCTTCTCCTCCAGCCTGCGAATTCTCTTTGCCATCGTGAAGATCTCTAGCTTCTTTCTCTGCCTCCATCCTCTAGACTGGCCTCGATCTGTCTCCTTTGCGAGACCAAAGTGTGCCGACAAGTGAGAACTTCGCATGAAACAAGGAGGAATAATGTCCAAGCTGGCTGGCGCTCTTCCCCTTGAAAACGAAACTTTCTTGGCGTTTACTCGGGACCATCTTCGCACTAAGACCGACCTCCTGGCCTCTGTCGGCGATTTGGATGAATCCAATTCGCGATATCGTCGATCACACGGAGAGCCAGGCCCCTCGATTCACACGGCGCGTAGATCGTGGCGCGCGCCATGGCGAAATGTAGGTCCTACCCGCGCAAACCGCCTGGACGAGTGTGGATCATCCATTGCGCTCACGGGCGACCTAACAGCCTTGATAGATTTCTGTGGCATATTCTGACATAAGCTTTGACTTCAACAAGTTTGCACTGCCCAGGAATCGAACCCGGGTCTGTTCCATGGCAGGGAACTATTCTACCACTAGACCAGCGTGCTTAGATGAGTATTCCCGTAACCTTTGATTAGATTTTAAAGTATAATTTTATAAAATTTGCACAGCCCAGGGTCTGTTCTGCAGCAGTGCTTAGATGAACGTAAAAAGACATTAGCTACATAATCTGTAATAACCTTTGATTAGTTTAAAAGCTTAACTTTAGAAAACCTGCACTGCCCGGGAATCGAACCCGGGTCTGTTCCGTGGCAGGGAACTATTCTACCACTAGACCAGCAGTGCTTAGATAAAGATTCTCGTAGCATATTCTGACATAAAAAACTTTTTTAGATTCCTTAATAACCTTTACTAAACTTTCAGCTAGATTCCCATGGCATATTCTATTGTAAGTATTAGTTTAAAAAGTTTAAACTTTAAAAAAACTTGCAGTGCTTATTTGAAAATCAAAGCTATTAAGGCTAAACCCGGTTTTAAACGGCGTAGTGCTCGATAGTCACCTCCTTGGCTTTGTTTCCCATGCTCCTGTTCTTCATTCGCAGTTGGATGTACTCTCCCTGGACGAATTTTCGATACTTCGGTGGCTCGTGGGCGGTGAATTCCTCGAGAGGAGCGATCTCGGTGCTGGATCCCGGGATGTGGAAGAAGGCCATCGAGAATCGATCGTTTTCTCTCCTCACCACCCTGTGCATCACACTCTTGTATCGCCCATTCGTCCACACCTGATCGATCAAAATCGAAGATCGATGGAGCAAAGTTTGATCGAGCTTTCCTTACCTGCATCACGTCTCCAACGTTGATGACGAGGGAGTTTTTGAGTGGCTTCACTGTGATCCAGCGATCGTCCTTGAGAACCTGGAGGCCGGGGACTTCGTTGAGCTGCGAGAGAAGCGTCAAAATCCCACCGTCTTTGTGCTGGCCGAGAACCAATTCGTGCTCGTAGTCGGGGGGGCAGGCCGGGTAGAATGGCAGCAAGAATGAGTCGCCGGATTCCTTGTTGTAGATCTCGCGAGCGCAATCGCCCGAAAGCCCGAGAGCCTCGAACAAAATTCTGGTCAGGAGCTTGGAGAAAGCCGCGCACTCGCGCATCATTTCCTCCACCACGCCCCTAAAGAACAAGAACAATATGATCATAAAGAGAGAAAGATTCCCAGCCTTTACCGGAAGCCGTGCGGCGATTCCGGCCACGCATTGTGCCGCACGCTGGGATGATCCAGGCCGAAGAACAGCAAATGCTCCTTCCGATCCACCACGCCGCTGGCGCCGCTCTGGTTAAGGAAGCCGATCGGGGACATCGGCGTGACGAGATCCAGCTTCCTCTCCAACGGCAGCGCGAAGAAGTCCCTGGTGCACTGCAAAATATTCTCCAGGCGATCGGCGCGGAGGCCATGATTCACAAGCTGGAAGAATCCCCAATCGCGGCACGCCCTGTCGATCTCGGCGAGAGCTTTCACCCTGGCGCATTCATCGCCGAGAACGAACGCGCTATGATCGATAACAGGGATGCTCGCCTCCTCGTCGATCGCCATCGCTGAAAGATAACCTAGCGATCTATCTATCTATACGATGCCCTCTGCGAAGCATGAGAATCAAAACATCGCAAAGAAACAAAGACACTAAACCCCTAAACCATAACGTTAGACCTTTGACTGCCGGAAAATACATACCGGAAGATACGTTTCCAACCGACGGAATATGCCGGGCTTTAAGCTTTGGGTTTTTTAGGGCTTTTGCATCTAAGCCCGCATTCCCGGGGCAGCCCTAGTCCTAGGGCTTGAGCGCTACAACGCGCTTTGATCGTTCATCGTCTAGATCTTCGACCCCTCGCGGTCTCGTGCCAGATTAGCAGCTGGATGCGCGGCACAGACTTCCAGCCGATTTCTCAGCGCCGCAGCGGGAGCAGCGAAGTAGGTTCTAGGGTTTCATGGCCAGGACCTCGAGCGGAGGTGGATCCAGGTTCGCGTCGTCCAATCTCAACGATCTCTATGGCAAGCAGGCATTGTCGGGTGTGAACATCGGCTCTGGCGGATCGAAATCGAGGTATTTGCATGGCGGCACGCACGGAGGTATGCTCGTTCTGGCCAGGCCAGTGCGAACGCCGCCGGGGAAGCAGGCTAAGCCGGCACAGCCCAAGCTCACAGTCCCAGCGCCCGTGAATCTCCCCTCTCTTCGCAAGGAGCACGCTGGGAACGACCCTAGCATCACGCTCGTCGGGGGGACTGGAGTTTCGGGATGGTCCAAGCAGCAGGCCCCAAGCCAGCAGCAGCAGCAAGCGCTGGTGGAAGATCCGGGCGTGGGCGATGGCCATCTCAAGTCCAACGGGTGGGGGATGGCTCAGGCACAGCACTTTGCGCAGGGCGGCGGCGGCGGAGCTGCGGTGATCTCCTCGGAGCAGTCGCCGAGGACAACAGGGAAGTACACGCCGCCGGCTGCTCGGGGCAGTGGCGCTCCTCTTGCGGCTGCTGCTCCTCCAGTTCGTGCTCCCACTGCTGTGGTGCTGCGCGGGGAGGATTTTCCGACGCTCCAGGCTGCTGCTCCTCTCAATCCCGTGCCGTCGCAGCAGCGGCAGCGGGAGATCCAGCAGCGGCAGAAGGACAAGCAGCGAGAGATGAAGCACCAGCAGCTCAAGTTGCAGCAGCTGTCGCAGAACCAGTTCGAGAAGGAGCTGGATGAAGATGATGGCTACAAGCCGCCATCGCCGGTTCTAACTCTCCAGCCGCAATCCAAGCAGGGTGGTCTCAGAGACGAGTCTGTCCGGAGCTACTTTTCTCTCAAGGAGAACAGGAAGCCGAATGACTTGTCTTTGAGACCGGGGCCTCTCATTCACTTGACGCACACTTCCAACTGGGCTGACGATGAACGAGAGACGGCTTCCGTGTCCAAGCCTCCCGACTGGGAAGATCCACCGCGCTACGGACAGTCTTCTTTTGCTCGACCGGCATTTCAAAGAGAGGAGCGAGCGAGCTACAGGAGGGATGTGCCCGAGTATGGTCGTAGCAGGGAAACGCAGGACTTCGGCTGGGATAGAGAGGGGTCCTTCGGGAGAAACGACTGGAACTTTGGGAGGAATAGCGGTTTTGATAGAGCAGAGGCGGATTCTAGAGGGAATAGTTGGCGGATGCGCGATAGCTACCACCACAATCGTGATAGTTTTTCGAGGGAGAGCTTTTTCAACAAACCGGGAGGCGACAGGGGAAGGCTTGGTGCACGAAATGGAGGTTTTGATCTTCCGGTGCGAGTCCGTAGCCCGTACTCTGAAGATACGTTCATGAGAGATTTTCCGGAGCTTCCAAACTTGGATCTTCGGATGGATTTGAAGTACAGAATGCGGAGGAAGAGGGAAGATTCGAATGAAGTCAGCTATCGCGATCTGGAACGCGAGTCATTCGAAACGGAGCTTGAGAGAGTTCAGAAGGAGCAAGAGCAGGAACGGCAGAGAAAGATCGAAGAAAGGGAGAGAGCAATTGAGCTTGCGAGAAAGGAGGAGGAAGAACGAGAGCGTCAGGCAAGGGAAGAAGAGGAGCGCCAGCAAAGACTTGAAGAAGAGGCCAGGGAAGCTGCAGCCCGTGCAGAGCAGGAGGCCCTTGATTCCGTTCGAAAGGTTGAAGAAGCTAAGAGAGCTCGGGAAGAGGAAAAGCGCAAACTGGTGGAGGAAGAGGAAAGGAGAAAGGAGAATGCACGTCGAAAACTTCTTGAATTGGAGGAGCGTATCGCTAGACGTGAGATGGAGAAAAAACAACCGAAAAATGGAGTGGAGGCCCCTGGTGAAAGCAATATTCCAGCAACAACAACAAAGGCGCTAGATGATAACGACGACAGAGCCACTTCCAGAATTTCTGGTTTTCGGATGCAGCAGGATCAAACCAGCTCCCGTTTACGATCGCCCGACATGCACAGGGTAACTCGTGAACCGGTCCCTCGTGGTGGAGATGATCGGTCACGACTTTCTTCTGCGTCTTGGAGAAGAGATTTGGGCGATCTTTCGTCTTTCCCCAACGATCACGGCAACGGTATGATGCACTCTCCGGGGCGCAGAGTTCCAGATGAAGGTGATAATTTTTACGGGAACGTGGATGGGCCTGTTGACAGTTACAGGAAAGATCGGGAAGACAAATGGTCCTCAAACGGCGATCAGCTGCGAAACATGTTCGGATCCCCGCGTCCAAACAACTTTCCAGAACACGTTTTCATGGAAGACGATAGACGTTGGAGCAGGCGGCCAAGGGAGAGCAGACCATTTTCACCTCCTTCGCCAACTTCGTACGGCGGCAGCTACGATGCTCCTGATGGAGTTTCCTACGGACGCTTGCGGCAGTCGCTTCCAAAGCAGCCCCGTGTGTTGCCTCCGCCAACAAGAACACATTCTCAGAAGCCGTCATTTTCTGGAAGTCAATCAGCTGCGTCAACTGTCACTTCATCTTCAGATCTACGAGAAGATGTTGCTCCGTCTCAAACAGCAACCGATGTGGAGAACACTCTGGCCGAGGAAATGTTTCCGGAAGACGAAGCATGTAGCGTAGGCGATGTACAGATCGACGTTACTGCTGAAGCTGTAGAGGCTGATACGAAACAACAGGGTGGAAGCACAGTGGAAGTCTCCGGTGCTCCAAATTTCGAGGAAGAGATCTCTGAAACGGTGGATGAGACGGTTGATGAAGAGCAAAGGTCTGATATCAGCCACGAAGAAGACATCTTGAAGGGCACCGGTGAGCAGTCAGAGTTCAACTCGGAGATTCACGAAGAAGTAGAGCACATTGATGCAGCAGATCTGAACGCCACCTTGTCAGAACTCGTGGACTCGATCGTGGTGCTCCCAAAGACTGAAGTGGTGGAAGCTACTCAACTTGACGCCGTTCCTGTCGACGAAGACAAGTCGGAGGAAGTTGAGCTCAAGAGCGAGGTCATTGAAGTTGTTCAGGCTTCTGAGGTCCCAGCTGCGTTACTGCCGTCACCATTGCAAACTACACAGCCTTCTCCAGCCGGGCTGCAGCAACCGTTTCACCATCCACCGAGTTTTGTTCCGCCACAGCTTCCTCTACTTGATTCCAGGCCGAGAATGCAAGGTCCAATGCCAGATCGACCAATGACCCTTCAGTTCGGGCTTCTTCCGGGTACATCTCTTCTCCAAGGCTCGATTCCAGCGATTCAGATTGGCTCCATTCAAATGCCACTTCAGCTACATCCTCCCATCGGACATCACGTCGCACACCTCCAGCCGCCACCTCAGTTTCAGTTCGGACAGATTGGTCAGCAAGCACCACTACTGCCTTCGTTTACGGTTCATCCTCAGGCAATGATGCAGCCTTCTATCATGAACATGGATGGCCAACAAGGCGTTCATGGGCAGCAGTTTCGAATGCAGCCACATCCTGAGAGGACGTTTTGGACTCATCAATATGGCCAGGGAGGTGCAATACTCCAGTCTCCGGTCCAGAATAATTCGGCGAGCGAAAAACAGGTGGAGGTAACTGAACATGACGATGGAAAGCGCAAGAAAGACGCCGGAAAACCAGCAGCCGCAGCCCAGGATTCATGGAAGCCATCTTTTACAGATGGTCAAACCTCTGGTTACAGTCGTTTTCAAGAGAAAGTTGATGCGAAGCAATGGTCAGCGAGGCACGAGGGGCATAGTTCGACAGAATCTTTTCGTAAGAAGCCTAATCGTCGGGGTAGTCTGGATTTCAGAGCGCCAAACTTGTCAGAACGTGGACATTATGTACCGCGGAAGGGGGTTAAAGGTGACGACGAAAATGAGAAGTCTAGGCAAGCGGCAGAGCTGGCTTCTTCCGAAAGATTATTTGACCCTTCCGGAGGGAGCGAAGAAGATGACTTTATCGAAGTCAGATCAAAACGGCAGCTGCAGAAGGAGAAGCAAGTGAAATCCAAGCCAAAGCACACAAAGGTACTATACTTCTACTTGCTGGTTTTCTCGCAACTGATCTTGTATATTAGCAGCAAGCTCCCAAGCAACGAAACGGGTCGAAGCCTCTCCCGCCTAGAGATGCGAAAAATGACAGTATGCCCTTGGCAAATTGCCTCGATGTTGTAGTGACGACTTCAAGAACAAGGCAAGCTTCGCTATCAAATCCTGAAGTGGGGTTTGAAAAGAGAACAAGAAGTCCACAGTAAGTGCCTTTTATTTTAGAAACATCATATATCTTTGGCTTTTCTTTTCATGCAGACCAACACAGATAAATTCCCTTGTTCCCGAGGCTCCAGCTTTTCCTCCGATTGTTGGTGAAGGTCAGAGTGCGCAGGCTAATGGAGCTGCATGGGGTTTTGGTCGATCCAATCAAGAGGTGACGCACTTTACATTAGCTCAATGTCTGAAACGTTTTATAGGTGGTTACGCTTACACAGATTCAGCTGGAGGAGGCAATGAAACCAGCTCGGTTTGAAGTTCCACTTCCCTTGCAGGTACCTCTATCAGAGCATCTCAGTTCGGGACTAGAGTCCACATCCACACCATCTGTTACAGCGAAAGAGAAAGGTCCTCGGCCTGCTGCCGCATCAGGGCCTGTTAATTCTCTTCTTGCCGGAGAGAAAATACAATTCGGTACTGCTGCTTTCGATCTTGTGACAAGTGATCTCATGAGAAGTTTGTCTTGCAGGAGCTGTTACGATGCCAGCATTTGCGTCAACAGTCCCTTGGCTGGGTCCCTCCCGCTCGGAGGGATTTCTGGGTGCTAGAAAAGAACTACAAGATGAGAATGAACTGGCATCGTTTGGCAAGGGGAAACGCTCCCGGGAGAACGAAGACGGGACAATGGACTCGGAGGCTGAAGCTGAGGCGGCCGAGGCAGAGGCAGCTGCATCAGCTGTTGCTGTTGCAGCAATCAGTAACGATGATTATCTACACGGTGCTGACCAGCTCGTTTCGTCGCACGGTATTATTGGTTCTTCTAACAAAGGCTCTCCAGCTGGTATTTTTATGCTGCAGTTTCTAAATTGCATGTCAACTAAGAGGTGTCCTTTCGCTTGTTTCAGGACTTGACACTCAAAACCCAACACAGTCTTCGGGGATTGACGAGACCATCAATGTCTCACTTCCAGCTGACTTATCCGTCGATATGCCACTGAGAGGACCTCCCACTTCTGGGCCACACTTGCCTTCGCTACCTGGCTTTCCTGGTTTGGAGATGGGAACCTTGCTAGGTGGACCAGTTTTTGCATTCGGCACGGGTGGTGAGGCCTCACGCGACTCCAACGGTGAACGTCCTGGTCCCGGTGGTTTAAACTGGCATCCGCGTCACGGTGTTGACTCCTTCTACGGTGGCCCGCATGGCTTCGCAGGGCCTTTCATCAACCACGGACCGATTCCAAGCATTCCTCCACACACTCTTGTCTACACCAGTCCGTTTGGTGGCGTGGGCCAGTTCGGGCAGCTGGGTGTAAGCTACATGGGACCGGCCCACATACCTCCCGTCAAGCAGCCGGATTGGAAACACACTCCAGTGACTTCTACGTCCTCAGGAGCAGGAACAAACAGTGGGGACGCTGGAGGTGGTAACGGACCCGGTGCCGGCGGTGGCAGTATGCTCTACGCTCCGCACAGTAATCGTCACTTGGGCCATGATCCGTCAGTCATCTCGGTAGTTCCTCCTGGTCCATTCGACATGTACAGGGATATGGCATTCCAGGTAGAAGAGACTTTCTTTTCTTTGGTTTTCGTTCAACTGGCTCACTTTTGCTCTTTGCAGTCCCAGTGGTCGCACGTCCCGGGGCCGCATGCACCGATGTCTGGGCCGATCCCGGGCTTTCCCCCGATGCATATGAGGCACCCCCACCCGGCTTATCACATGCAGCATCAAGCCGATATCGCCAACGATCCGAGCATGGCGTCCGCGGCGGCGGCAGGCGCTGGAGCACCGGCCGAAGCCAGCGACCAGTACCTGGACGAGCTCGGGCTGGGGGATGCCATGTCCACGGCCAGCTCCGACGCGAGCAACACTTTCGCTGTACACCAACAACAACAACAACAACAACAACAACAACAGCACAAACATCACCAACACCAACACCATCAACAACAGCAACAGGCAGCGCCGCCTTTCAAGCCTCCCAGCCCGGTGGTCTCGTCGCTACCCGCGGGAAGCAAACTACACTCCAGAGTGGTGGTCCAACCGGTGAGTGGAGCTGAGGGTGGCGGTGGCGGAGCTGGTGGCAGGCCAAACTCTGGAAGCTCTCGACCCGGCGGTGCTGCTGCGACAATGCCGACTTTCCAGCCTCACTCTTATGTCGCCACCGCCGCTGCCGGTGCTGCTGCTGCTGCTGCTGGCCCGCGACGCTCGATCGGGCACCAGGACAGGAGAGTGGCTCACGGTGGCGGCATTGGCAAAGTCGGGGTTGCAACAGGATGGTCTAACCACAGCCACAGCCAACAGGGAAGGAGAGGTGGAGGAGGATTTGCGGGTGATGCCAGCGGTGGTAGCAGCAAAAACAGCGGCTCCTCGTCGTCGGTGGCGCCGGCTTCCAAGCTCAAGCAAGTGTACGTGGTGAAGCCTCCTCCTCCAGCGGCGGCGGTGGCGATCAACACTGGCGGCGGTGATCACCATGCGGCAGAGATCTTCTCGGCGGACGCGAGACACATGTAGCGCGAGGCGAGAGGCGAGGCGAGGCGACAGAGGAGAGGAGGCGAGGCGACAGAGGAGAGGCGGCGGCGCGGCGCGAGCAAGCGAGACGGAACGAGGCACAAACGCTCAACGCTCATCGCGCAAAGCACAAGAGCTTTCCTTCTTTGACGAGGTGAGAGAGTGAGTGAGTGAGAGAGAGGAGAGAGTCTTTTGGTGACGGGAACGAAGGGGAAGGAAGCTCTCACTTGCGATGCTCACATTCCTTTGATTCCAGAGAGGGATGGATGGGCGCAACCGAGAGCTCCGCGCGCAAAAGCTTTGTATTGGTATTTACGAGGAGGAAGAGGAGAGAACATCTCTCGAGCAAAGTTTGTGTTACTAGGCAACGAGGGCAAAAAGACTGACAGCGTGGGAGTGGTTTTGTAATAAAACAACATGTCTATGATTTAAATTCTAAGACTAATTATATTTCTATGAACTAATTCATTTTTTTAGATGTATATGATTAATGTGACATATACTTGATAAGTGATCATCATCAATTCACCAATTGTATCATCAATTTCTTACCATTTAGCGAACAACTGGCACATCCATCAAACGAGCAGAAAGTTCCAGGCAAAGAACGCTACGTTGGAAACTCAACAAAGCCATCTATGGCTTAAAGCAAGCTTCTCGCCAGTAGTTTGATGGTTATCTTTTCTAGAAGAGAGTGGGAGATGACGCAATTTGTATTGTGGTCTATGTTGATGATTCGTTGTTTGTCCGCAACAGCTCTGAGCTGAGACCAAACAGATTTTTTCTTCTCAAGGACTTCATCCAGCATGACAGGAAACGAGATTGGCTCCATTTGCCTACACCAAGCCAAGTATGTGGAGGACATACTTCGGAAATGTTCCATGGGGCGTAGCTCACCAGAACCAACACCAATGATAGCAGGTCTGAAACTTTCTAAGGATACATCTCCTTTCACCGATCATGAGAAGCGTCCCTTGTATCTGGTCGTTTGCACTAAGCGTGGTAAGCAGATTCCTGGACAACCTAGCTTGTAAACGAATTTTTCGGTACTAACGTGTCTTCTGGCCTTTGCTACAAGCAGCTTTCAGCTTCACAGGTTTTTGTGAGCGTTCCCATACAGGCTATTCTTTTAGCTTCTACGCATGGAGCAGTAAACACAAACCTCGTAGGCGTGTTCCAGCTGTGAGGTCGAGTATATGGCAGTCGCAAGGAATCCATATGGTTGAGGCGTCTTCTCGCTGAAGTTGGCGTTCCTCCGGCTGGCGCGACTGTGACAACCAAGGCTGTATTTCCTTGAGCAAGACCTCAACTCTAGAACCAAGCACATGGACACAACTCACCATTTCCTGCGTGATCAGTACGAGGATGGTGTGCTTGTGCTCACATACTGTCCTACTCAGGACATGACTGCGGATGTGTGTTGATCGAACCATTGTCATCACCAAAATTCTTCCAGTTTTGAGCAGCCCTCGGTGTCTGCCCGAGTGGGAGTGTTATGGAGAGTCCGTGGAGTGTCCATTCTTTGGTGATATTGAATTCAATCTCAATTCAAGATCTTACCAGACAGGTTGATCGAGTTTTTTACGGGAAGCACTAGCGTGAAATATCGAGTTTTATTAGACCAAACATAACTTCAAACGCTCACACAAATGGTATGGTATTCCGAACAGAGGGACTCTGTTCCTGGTGGAATGATATTTTTACATGCTCAATACACAACGGGAAGGCCTCCCTATGGCGAGACTGCAGATATGTTTTTTGAAAAGTCATGAGCAGATTCCATAGCCCTATCTACCATATGGACGTGGACACTGCATATCCGCTAACTCTACAAGCTGCCTCTAGTGCAATGGATCCAAGATCATGGTGGAATGTGATTCACGAACTCCTGCCCAGCTATGCTGAACTCCTATGTGCAAATTAGTGCCTCATTGAGCTAATGATACACATCCATAATTGCTCACGGACAGCAGGTATGGCTTAAGCAGTTGTCAAGATTGTGTTAACACAAGGTTCGATGAGTGCAGGGTTCATAGCACATTTTTGTTAAGCTACTGCCTTCGCTAGCTAGGCTTCCATTTGCCGGTGATTACTCTCCATGATCTCTAACTGCAACAGGCTAGGCATATTTTTCATGGGAACTGACTTCTTTATCCATACACTAATCCTCAACCCTTTCCCTTACCCTCCAGAGGTTCACCTCCTATCCACGCCCTCCAGAGGTTTACCTTCCGCATCCACGTAGCAACGACGGTCGCGGTCAAATATACTTATGTCATACTTGGGGCCCTTCAAAGGCGCTCCACGGCTGCATGCAAGTGTCAAACACCCAAAAACAAAAAAGAAAAAAAGACAAAAAAAAAAACAAAAAGAGATGAACTCACTAATAGCCAACCCTCTGGAGAGCCTCCTTGAGTGCTACCGCTGATTCCCACTGCTCTTTTGGGAGGTCACAGTTCTTTGGGTCATTGTCTGACCCATGGATCCAATCAACAAACTTGCTCTTTCGAAAGCCTACCGACACATGGTCCGTCCTGTGTGCATTGGACCAAATTTGTAAGCTCGGACATAAGGTCAAACCACAAACCTTTTCAGCCTTTCAATTCGCCGTCGCATTGTACTTTCACCATCCGGGTTGAATTTCATCACTAATTCGAGCATCGTAAAAATTTATGTGTAGAGGAGGCATGAAGAAGACACTTACTCGGAACAGCTTTCCTTTTTTTCAGAAACTCCTCTCTCAGTGAAGCAGCCACCGCGGCATCATCCAGAAAGGAGGGAATGAGCGACCGCAGCCGGCTGAGTGGCATGTCATGGATTTTGGCGTATATCTTACCCTTCTCATCCGCCGCCAGCGGCAATCTTCCAAACCGATCCCACATCTCCGCCGCCATCAACTTTAGGGCACATACCTAAAATGGTACATTTGGGGTGGAGGTGGGATTTTTGACTTTGGAGTTGGTTCTAGATCAGTTTTGTGGATGTTTTGAAGACGGGACAGCTCTGTTTTGCTTGCGTTGCTCACGTCGCTCGCACAACAGCGCTTATGGAGCTCAGGCGTATCTCACAGTGTTAGCTAGATCTAACGGTGGCAGCCACGGGGCAGCTAAGGTTTGTATTTGCTCTCTTGGGAGCTATCACTGGCACTAATGTCACCCAGCAGCACTTGGACAGAGGTAGATTGTATTGGTATTTAATTTGTTTGTATTGAAAATGTACAAAATATAGAAGTACATCATATGAAAAGTCAATGCAATGCTTTCAATGTTTGTGTGTCAACCAAGAACCCCTTGCACGTACTTAAGATTCTTCTTCTCTAAGGAATCACCTATCTCAGATGTGCATTGGCTTGCACTGCCTGAAGCCATGACAAGATAATTGCATACATGAATAATTAAATTTTCATAGAGTTTACAAAATCTATAACCACTGCCCATCTCCATGCAAATTAAATTAGATACAAAAAGTTATGAACTTAAATGTGCTTGCTAAAGGAAAAGATTGGGTTGTGCAGCTGCTTTGTTTTGTTGGTAGCATTGGAGACTTTTAGCTTTGATCATGGAGTTACACATTCCAGAACTGACGTTAGCACTAACACCAAATACGTAAGGTGTTATAAATTTAAATCTGATACCTCGTATGGATTGCATGATCAAAGCACCAAAAATTTTCCTTATCATCTCGTAAATAGCTCCTGGCTTATGACCATCACTGCTTCTAATATATGGGATCCCACCCATTAGAACCCTCTGATGAAGGCCAGAGAGGCCTGAGCCTAGAGATCGAAACTCGACTGGCTGTGAGCATGTTTTAAGGCCCAGATCCTCTAAAGTGTGGTCATGCCCACAAATCTAGTGCTTCTTCACCAGATCTTTCCATCATTCTAGCATATCACCCGGCTTGCCTGCTGGAACCTCCTGTCGCAGCTCTCCTTCAAATGTTGCTCGCTCCGCAAAAATATGACATTTTCCTCGAGGCAAGAATCCTGGAAGCACTGGATCTAAGGAGCTGAGATTTGGGTCCCCTAGGTTGTAGCTACTGGAGCTCAGTTGCCCTGCTTTGGCCACCTCACATGGCGCCAAGCAGCATCTTCTTCCCAATCGACCAAGGAGAGCGGCGACAGCCAGAGGGCTGGTAAAAGGAATCTTTCGCATGACAAGGAGCGAGAAAAAAAATTCCCAGGACATTTACCACTATCCCCCACTTTCCCCTTGTTGTGTAGGAAACTTCACAGCGGTAAAAGGAAATTTCTTATCGCTCTTGCAAATGAGGAGAGATGAACATATTCCTTTTCCTTGTCAATTTTCTTAGAGTCACCTATCTGGGGAGGGTTTTTCTCCAACTCTTTCTCTCCTCCAATCTCTTCCAAATAGTCAGCTCCTTTTGGTGTTGGCAAAACCTTCCAAATGTGGCAAGCCTGGGTGAAAATAGTCTAAGTTGGTTTTAATCCACATAGCGATTGGTCCATGGGTTGTTCTCTTCTTCTTCCTTTTGCCCTGACTGCTCTTGAGCATATCTGGCTTGCCAATTGCAGCTCTAGGGGTCTTCTTGTAGCAGGATTTCTGCCCACCAGCTCACAGTACCAAAAAGATGTTGCATATGGATTTTCTAGTGAATCTTTCCTACTCCTACCTTCTTAGTCATGACAGAAATGGCTTTTGGTTCTTTCTTAGGCATTGCCGTGTTCTCAAATGTGCCTGGAAACATTATTGATCTCCAACTATTCCCAATGCATTTTACCCAAGAAGGTGTCAAGCTTTTTCTTGCACCAAAACTTGCTCCTAGCCACTCCAACTCACTAGAGATTCTCTCAAGACTTCCAGCACACTTGGGATTGTTGTATTTCCACAAACAACTTCAAGATTCCCTCCCTACTATAATGATGGGACAAACTCAGAATTCTCTCATGACACTCCAAAACTCACAAAGAATACTCTCTTCCTTCCAAAAAAGATGGAAATTTATTTCTAAAACCAAAGTAAAAGGTCACTCCATCCTTGGCTTTATATCCTCTAAGCCTTAGATTCTCACATTCCCGTGTCTGTTTTGTATGCTTCTATCATGTTTTTGCCACACCTTATGATCTTTATGGATCCTCCCAAGCTATACCAAGCTCCAGAGATGTCTGATTCCTTCCTATCAAAATTCTGTTTTACTCACAAGATACTAAAGTTTGCTTAGCTGAGAAAGCATATGCTTAATAATGCATAGCAACTTTTACCCTTGATCATCTGAAAAATATTTTCGCAAGAAAGGACCAAAACAACTCAGAATAATCCTTTACTACGTATAAGAAACTGACCAACTCTAGTTTGGACGACCATCTAAAGAGCACCCTCTCAAGGATCTTACCCTGTATAACCTCATAACCAGTCGCCCACTCACATTTGTCAGTGCCACACTTGTGACTTGGGAGCGTCAACAGTGATGACGCCTCCACAAATCTGGAGCTCCAAGAAGTTCATGTTGGGGTTATGTAACTCAAGGTTAGCGTCTATCAGTCGCAAGCACAAATTTGCCTTTCTCACACTCTTGATATGAAAGCCTAGAGTGCATCCCATAAGCCTTGCCAAGCGTAGGAGGGATTTGATTTGGATACGTGAGATAGCACAGATGAAGTGCTCCTCAAGGTGTCTTGGCACCCATCAGTGATAAGTGGAGGACTATGAGGAGGATTTGCAACACAGACCTATTTAGAGATGCTAAGGACAGGAAGAAGAGATCTAGCACTACTTCTCTAACCCACAAGATTAAAGACTTTGAGCCTTGAAGTGAAGAGGTTGGTGTTGCACACTACTGCCTCCAGACTACTATTGAAAACTCTTCCAGACTGTGGAATGATTCAAAGAGAGGGCAAAGCACTTGCTGGAAATACTTGAATGGGTACTTATATTGACATCTCGTCAAAGCGAAAGACATCCCTAAAAGCCTCCTACAAACTATTGGAATTGCCATAAGTGAGTACATTGATAAAGTTTGAATATTAGTTATTAAAGCCACTCAAGCTAGTGAGGCTCCAAATGCTTGCAAGTAGCAGGTAAGTCACAGCATTTTGATCACTCAAGCTAAACAAGTTGTTTGTTACTCGAGCTCCAAGCTCCACATTGTTATGATTCTTGCAGGCACCAAGCAAACATGTCCACTCCCATGAATCTGGACAAAATGGCATATATGCTATGAGCTCTCCAGCTTCTTCTAGTCTTCCAGATCGAGATAAGAGATCCACAATGCAACAGTAGTGCTGCTTCGTTGCTTTCAATCCAAAATCCACAGTTAGTGAAACAAAGTAAGAGATTCCAGCTTGGGTTCTTCCAAGGTGAGTGCATGCTAATAAAACACACACAAAGGAAGCCTCATCTGGATTGATATTAAGCTCCATCAAGTAGAAGATGTCAAGAACCTCCAATGGCCTTCCATTTTGGGCATAACCAGCAAGCATAGCATCCCATGAAACACTGTTTCTCTCTTCCATGGAATCAAAGAGATGTCTTGCCATGTGAAGATGCCCGTTCTGAGCATATGCCGAGAGCATGGCCGTCCAGGAGAGAATATCTCTTTCCTTCATTGAGTGAAATATTTTCCATGCTTCTTTAAGGTAACCATGCTGGGAATATCCTGTGAGCATCGCATTGAAAGAGACGAGGTTGTGCTCTTGCATGGAATCAAACACGTATTTTGCTAACTCTAGATGCCCGTTTTGGGAATAAGCTGAGATCATAGACGTCCAAGTTACTATGCTACGCTCTTCCATAGTGTCAAAAATTTCCTTAGCTTTATCTAAATTACCATTTTCCGAATAAGCTGTTAAAATAGCATTCCTAGACACCAGATCCACCTCTGGTATAGTTTGAAATATTCCTTCTGCTTCTACAATATGCTCTTTTTCAGCATATGCTGCCAACATTGCTGTCGAGGAAACAAGATCATGTTCTGGCATAGAGTCAAATATGGTTTTAGCATCTGTTAGTTTCCCATTCTCAGTTAGACCACTGAGCACACAAATCCAGGAAACTAGATTTGTCTCTTTGTTATGCTTCATGTCGTCAAACAAAATCTTTGCCTTGTCAAGATGCCCGGATCGAGAATATCCCGCAAGCATCGCAGTCAAAGCTACAAGGTCCCATTCTGGCATCTGGTCAAAGCAGTATTTCGCCTTTTGCATGCATTCGGATTCTGTAAAGGCGACAAGCATCGACGTCCATGAAATCAAATCCCTCTCTGGCATTGCATCAAAGATACCCTTTGATTCTTCAAGATACCCCGTTTGGGCATATGCAGCAAGCATTGCATTCCACGACACCAGATTTCTCTGCGGCATCTGTTCAAATATTTCACGCGCCTCATATGTAAATCCATTTTCAGCATATGCCGTAATCATCATTACCCAAGCAAAAATATCTCTATTTCTGCTGGAGAGATTGTCGAAAACTCTTCGTGCAGTGTGTGGATTACCCTGTTTGCCATGGAATCTTATTAAAGAACGCTCTATCATAGAATATGTATGAGGATAGAAATAGTAGATCATAACATCTTTTGACCGTTTAAAACTTCCATTCCATGAACCAGCTTGATAGAAACTCTTGCATTCTTGAGCTCAAGTCGTGCAAAAGCCTTGATGCTGCCAAAAATCTCCACTCCAAATTCCACGCCCTGATCTTTCAATCCGACGCCTACGTCCCCAACAAGCTCGTGGAGCTCTATGGCAGATGTGGGAGTGTCAATCTTGCCCGTTCGGTGTTTGACGGCATCAACAACAAGGACATCTACTCCTGGGTGTTGATGCTCTCGGCATATTCCAGAAATGGGCATATTCAAGAAGCCCGTAACACGTTTAACAGCATGCAAGAGCACAACTTAGTAGCCTGGAACTCGATGCTTACAGCATATGCCCAATCCGGGCATCTGCTAGATGCTCGGGATCTTTTCAATTCCATGCCAGAGAGAGACCTCGTCTCCTGGACCACAATCACTGTGGCATATGCGCAGCGTGGCTATATAGAGTCTGCAAAGGCTCTCTTTGATACCATGCCTGCAAGAGATCTAGTTACTCTTACCGCAATGCTAAATGCCTATGCACAAAACGGACACTTGGACGAGGCAAAGTTTGTGTTTGATTCCATGAAGGAGAGAAATCTAATTTCCTGGAATGTGATGCTCACGGCATTTGCTGGTAGTGGGTTTCTCCAAGCGGCCAAAGATTTGTACCATTGTATGCCCGAGCATGACTTGATAACGTGGACGGCAATGTTGGTAGCGTTCGCATCGGACGGTCAAGTGGAGCAGGCCAAAAGAGTATTCGATCAAATGGACGAGAGGGATTTAGTCGCGTGGAATGCCATGCTTTGTGCATATGCCGACAATGGGCATCTGGAAGAAAGTAAGCGCTTGTTTGATTCCATGAAAGAAAGGAATATCGTCTCTTGGACTGTACTGGTCACTGCATATTCCGAGGTCGGGTATATTCGTGATGCGAGAATCCTGTTTGACGGGATGAAGGAGTGGAGTTTAGTGACTTGGAACGCGATGCTCTCGGCATATGCCCAAAATGGTCAAGTCCTTAAAGCAAAGAAGCTGTTTGACGAAATGGACGAACGGGATGCTGTCACGTGGACCGCGCTGATGGTGGTTTACGCACAAAACGGACATCTTAAAGACGCAAAGCTCTTGTTTGATCGGATGGAGCACTGGAATCTCATCACATGTAACGTTCTCCTTTCAGCATATACCGATTCCGGGCATATTGATTCCGCGCGTGAACTGCTAGAGAGCATGCTTGAGCGGGATGTTGTGTCGTACAACTCAATGCTATGCGCATATGCCCGTCACGGGCATCTGGAAGATGCCTGGAGAATCTTAGAGCTCATGCCGGAGTGGAATCTCATCACCTGGAGCGCATTGTTCTCGGCATATGCCCAGAGAGGGTATCTGGAGGAGGCCATGAAGATGCTTTACAACATGAGCAGCGAGCCGGTCGTGTCATGGAATGCGGTACTATCATCGTACGGACAACACGGCTACATTGACGAGGCCAAAGCGGTGTTTGATGGAATCAAGGATAAAAACTTGGTAACTTGGTCGGCAATGGTTTCCACGTATGGACAGAATGGTCGACCCCTTGAGGCCAGGCGAGTCTTCGATTCGATGCATGAGAGAAACTTGGTGGTGTGGAACTCCATTCTTGCCTCTTATGCGCGAGCGGGGCTTTCCAGCGAAGCTTTTGAGCTTTTCTATGGCATGAACATGATAGAGTTTCCAGACGATGTATCGTTTGTGTGTGTTCTTGTAGCTTGCAACCATCTGGGCGAGGTTTACCCTGCAAAGTTTTGCTTTGGGTCGATCGCCATGGACTTCGGCTTGGTTCCTACGAGACAACACTACTGCTGCGTGATTGATCAGCTCGGACGAGCTGGTTTTCTCAGCGATGCCGAAGATCTTATCAAAACCATGCCTTACTCGCCGGATGCGCTGGACTGGAGTTGCCTGCTTGGAGCATGCACGAACCAGAAGGATCGCCGGCGAGGGGAACAATCCACCAAGTGTGTTCTTGAGCTAGATCGAAAGGATGGGTCGGCTTATGTGTTACTCTCGAACATTTATAAGTCCAGTTTGAAAGCCAAACTCTCTCATTCTGGTCTGTGAATGTATTCTTTCTTCTATTATAATAGATGAGAATGTAAAACTTTGACCACCTTTTAAGACAACAATATATCCTGTAATTTTATCAATAAGAATGTATGAGGATTTTTTAATTTTTAATTTTTTCTCCTTCTTTCCACTGTGTTTTCTTAGGGTTTGTGTGATCGCGCTCTTAGACATTGGAGCGCGCATGAGTTATGCATTTCTTTTGTCGCGTTAAAGTCCATCTTCGTCCGCACCCGCACCGAGAGACACGGACAGGTAACTTGTCATCTTTTGTTATCTTTCTTCGAAGAGCTGTGATCATAGATGATGTTGCAATTGCCCGGCATAGCGAGCAATCCCTTGTGGCTCTCACCGTCTCCACACCGGCAATGTAGCAGGTAGAGTGCTCTAGAAATGGTGTTACAAAGAATAGAAGTTAGAAAAATCTCACATTAGCTCTCTCTGCACAGGCCTGTGCGAGCGAGGAGGAAATGGTCAATCTATGCATCCAACAAAGGTACTGCGATTGAAAGGAGAGAAAAATCGTGTCGAAGAATAGCTAAAGTATGAGCTTTCCAGGCTCCAAAGGAGATGGAGAATTGTTTCAAATGCTGCAAAGGTTCATGCGAAAGAAAGCGAGGGCCCTCAAGGGGGATTTAACAACATTGCGAACAGCAAACCATCACCGTAGACCTCTCACAAGAGTATGTATCTTTTTCGACTTTTCTCGCTCCGATCAATTCCACTCTACTTTTCCTTCTTTTGTCTCACAGACTGTGACACTTGGCCTGATTGCGGTCTCAGCAACGCTCTACCTTTGGAACTTGAAGGCTTCGGTTGCAAATATCTTGAAAAGAGTTTGCGTCGAGGCACTGTCGAGGTCGTCCTTGAATCGATTCGCGTCTATCAGCCTCTCTGCGCTATCAAACCACAGGAGAGAGTTTGTAGCAAACTTGAGGTGGTCCATCGCCCATCTCTCGTATTTACTCGACGTGGTTCTCGAGCGCCATCCTACTTCGTGAGTAAAGCTTCAGGCTCTTTGTTTTCTCATCTTGTTTTGACGCAGATATTTAGTGATTCTCGGGACAACTTGCGCGGTTCTTATTTTCATTGGAGGCTTTGCTTTCTACCATCTCAGGTAAAAAAATTCTGTTTTTTCTCCTGTGACTGGTAAGTTTTTTACTCTTTCTTCTAGAACACGTAAGCAAACGCTAGGCGATGCTTTCTGGGAAGCATGGGCGTGTCTTTGCAACTCCAGCACACACCTGAAAGTAAAACTTACTCTTTTTTGCTTTGAAGTTCTCTCAACTTTTGTTTTGCTTGCAGGAACAAACCGTCGTGGAAAGAGCAACTGGATTGCTACTGGCGATTGGTGGTTTGATGTTCTACTCGCTCCTTACGAGCACACTCACGGCGCAATTCAAGGTTTTACTTCCGGAGTTCTCGTCTCTTTCTTTTCTAACAGCTTATACATCAGGATTTCAATCAAACATAACTCTCTCGTTTCCACTTGTAGAGCCGGATGGAAATCTTACGCGAGGGTGCGCTCTTTGAGGTGATGGAGGTCGGGCATACTGTAGTCTGTGGCACCAATAACCATTTGAGCACACTGCTCAAGCAGCTCAACAAGGCGCAAGACTTGGCGTTAAAAAATAAGACAGCAACTTCTCGGTATTTATATAACTTCGTGGCTTTTTAATTCGTTTTTTCATTTTCCAGAAAGAAGACTGTAGTTCTTCTATCCGAGAAGATGAAGAAAAGCAACAGTGTTGTCTCCAATACAATCAAAGAATGCAAGGCTTTGAATGTCCTGGTTCGAAGGTAAAGCTCTTTTTAGTGGATCATATTTTTTGAGCTCGAGTCATTCTTGTCCATTATTTTGCAGTGGCAAGCTTAACAAGACCTCGACGTTTCAAACAGTTGGTGCTTCCAGAGCCTCTCGTATCATATTTCTTGCGAGGAAAACTGATTCGTAAGTAGACCATACTAATGCGGTATTGATTGTTGTTTTTTTTTTCCTTTTCTCTAAACCAGATACGAGGCCGACGCAGATGTGGTGCTGTCGGTGCTGGCTTTGCAGCCATTACGCGAGGAAAAATCGGTGCAGGTTATCGCGGAGGTAATACTTTCTCGGTTTTTCTGGGTGCTAGAAGAACTTTTTGATGAAAACCAGGTATCTAAGGAGGGAACAGCTCAATTGCTTCAATCTCTCGCTGGCCAAAACATAACTACTGTGCAAGATTTATCCTCCAAGCTCTTGGTACAGTGCTCTCGACAGAATGGTCTTATAGACGTGTACCACGAACTTCTCGATCATGGAAGTATGTCTTTTGGATTCCTCCTCTGTATTATTTCCTGTGTTTCTTTTTATGCCTTGCAGGACAAGTGATCATTTTGCGACACTATCCGAGCTTAGCTGGTTACAAATATCGTGATGTGCGTCGTAGTTTTCAAGAGGTACCATTCTTTATTCTTGATATTATTATTATTTTCCTTTTCTTCTGAGAGATTTGATTTCTCTTCACAGGGAATTGTGTGTGGAATTATACGAGATGGTGCAATCAACTTTCATCCCAAAGATGGTCTTGCCTTGGAGTCTACAGACAGGGTATGAACTTTCTAGTCTTACAGGCGTTATAGCATTTTCTTGTTTTTTTCAGCTAATTATTATTTCCCACAAGAACAGCAGTGAAGAAGTTAGTATACTTCCCGCGACTGCCCCGGCATTCAACATGGCAAGCGTCGCTAGAAGATCAC